CCTTCTTTCCGAGAATATGGTCCAGCCTCATTGCGTCGATAAGTTTTCGTTCCTTTTCGGCCTACTCGATTGGCCCGCCGCGTGGCGTCCCCTCTCTTTTCTTGACGTTGACCGTCAGGTCACAGATCTGAACTGGAAGTTGGCACATGGCATGTTGTATACGGCGCAGCGCCTGGCATCTTTTGGGCTGCCGGTCCCCCTTCCCTGTTTTTGTGGCTCTCCCGTGGAATCTCTCGGCCATTTATTCTTTTACTGCCCGTTAGCCCACAATGTTCTGTCCTGGTTGCAATCTCTGTTTAGTTTTTCTTTCATGTGTCCGGCCCTTCTGGTGCGTCATGTCCGCTTCGGCTTTAGTTCGGACGAATTGTGCGCCACCCCCCGTGTCTTTGTCTATCTCCTTAATCTTTGTAAATTTTTCATCTGGCAGTCCCGTAATGACTTCCGTTTTCGCCATGTCCCGCCAGGCGCCATAGACGTCATCCCCAAGGTGAAAGCGCGTCTCAAGTGTCATCTCCGTCTTCTTCAAACGTTTCCAGTCTTCTCGCCGCCGTCAGTGGGCCGTCATCGTCAGTGGGGCGCCCGTGGTGTTGTCCCTTCTGTAAGTGGTGACCGTTTCACAATCGCCATTTAGCTCACTCTCAGTTGCTATGCTTATTTTGTTTTTTGTTTGTGTGCCACCCCTTGGCTGGCTAGGGGTTATTATTATCGTTTTGATTTTTGTTTTACGTGCCACCCCTTGGCTCGCTAGGGGTTATGATTATTTTTTTGGTTTTTTTTTGCGTGCCGCCCCTTGGCTGGCTGAGGGTTATTACTATCGTTTTGCTATGATTACCGAGTGTGTGCGTTTATTCTTCGGTGTGTGTGTTTGATTTTTTGCAAGGTGGGGTTCGATTCCCCAACGATGTTGGTGTCTGGTGACCCTCTTGTTTAGTGGTAAACCCAACCTTGAGGCTTTGCACTCCCCACCTTGGGTTGGATTAGATGGTTAGTTCGGCAGGCACTGCACTGCCCTCACGGGAGCCTGGCCGTTCACCTTAAACATAAAAATACGTCTGCAGCCGGGGAAAGACCCTTTGCGGGCAGATCTCCCCTCTTGCGGGCAGATCTCTCCCCCCGCGGATGGATCTTCCCCCCTATGGGCGGATCTTCCCCCCTGCAGGCGGATCTCCCCCCCCCCCAACGGGCAGATCTTCCTCTCCCACGGGCGGATTTTTCCCCCTCGCAGACGGGTTCCCCCATGGGTGATTACGTCAATAGTAAAATACCTAGAAAACTTTCCAAACAGACAATTTGCAAAAAAAATAATAAAGTAATGTAACAAACTCGTCGTCAAGACTGACTTCACTTCGCTTTTTTCTACCCTGGGTATCAGCAGAGGTTTTGCCTCAGGTCTAGAAAAAGTACGATTAACAATGGTCATTAAGAATATTTTCAGTGAACTGTGTGTACCTTCGGGATTTTCCTTTGGCACGAACACAATCGTGCTGGCATTCACACAGCGTGCATTTATACGAGTGGTACCACTTACGCAATGGTCACTTATGTTTTGCTCCAATTACATTTCCGGTGCTAAGATTATAAATGGAGAAAAAACACTACCTTAGATCATTACGTAAACAAAAAAACGTGACTTAAAACGTCTGCTTGTAAAGTCTTTAAGTCTTTTACTACTGACGGAATATAAAAAGTAATTGCTATGCTCTCGCATTTCATTTCGTGAGATGGTTGATAATACAAGGGACCTAGGAGAGTAACACTTCAAGGGGAGGTGGAGGTTTTTTTTCAATTCTCGTATGTCATGTACGTGACATTTCGTCGTCTCGCCTTATTTTCGAAATTTACGCCTTCTTTTGGATGGCTTTAGATTACTTGCGAGTGGCTGTAGAAATTTTTTGAAATTTTTGAGGTGGTTTTAGGTGGTGTTAGGTCGTTCCATGTTTTAGTGCTTACGCTGGCTAAGCATCTTTCATGTCTCTGCTTTAGATTGTTCTTTGGTGTTTTCCTTTCTTCTGTCCAGGCCTTTACCTTTCAATCCCAGGGTCTTGCCACCTTTCAACAACTCACTCTTCCTCGCCTGGTGTGGCCTTAATGGGTCCCTTTCCGCGCCTCACAACACTCTGGTCTTTGGTTCGTTGTGCCCCCATGTCTCTTTCCCTGTGGCGGACATGTCTACAAAAAGTTGTAAACCGTACCTCTTGTCCGAGAACATGGTTCCACAGTTATGTATGGCTGTCCACGTGGTGCTCCCTCACCTTTTTCAGCCCTGACACTCGCGTCATCCATCTGAATTGGAAGATAGCACTCGGCATCTTGTACACTGCATGGCATCTTGCCTCTTTAAGGTTTTAAGTTCCCCTCCCCTGCTTTTGTGGGGCTCTTTTCTTTTATTGCTCTCTGGCCCAGAGTGTCCTCTCTTGATGGCAGTCTCTCTAGTTTTTCTTTCATGTGTCCTGTCCTTCTTTGTTGTCATGTTCTTTTTGGCTTCAACTCTGATGAGTTGGTCGCCACTCTCTGTATTTTTGTCCATCTTGTAAACGTCTGATGCTACCTGATTTATACCCTTGGTCCAAACCTGCGGAGGTCCAAATCTGCGGAGTTCCAAATCTGCTGTAATACTGAAACTACTTTCAGTTTCCCAGCGTCCGTCCAGGCGCTGTAATGGTCATCGCGAGAGCACAGTCTCGTTTAAGATTTCACCCTCCTGTCTTCTTCAAACACGTCAGTTCAGAGCGCTGTCATTGCTACTTCCATCATCAGTGGTGCACCAGTGGTATCGTTGGCTCTCTGTGCTTCCCGATTTAATTTGTTTTTGTTTACATACCTCCCCTCAGCTGGCAATGGTTATTGTTGGGTTTTTTTTGTTTCCACGCCTCCCCTTGGCTGGCTAAGGGTTATTACCATTATTTTGTTTTTTGTTTGGTACCTTCCCTTGACGGGCTTAAGGTTATCATTATCAGGTGAGTGCGTCTAATTTTTGGGAGTGAGTATGTTTAATTTTTCATGAGGTGGGGTTCTATCACCCAACGAAGTTGGTGTCTTGTGGCCCCCGGTTTGTAGTGAACTCAACCCTATGGCATTGGACTTTAGCCATGGGTTACTTGCTGTTCAACAGGCATTGCACTGCCTCCACAGGAGCCTGGCCGTTCACCTCAAATATAGCAAAAAAAGAGAATCGGCCTCATGACTTTAGTATTAATGGTGTACTACTTTTACTTCAATTGAATTAGCTGTGGCATATTTCCATGCAGAATTTGAAAATTGAAATTAGCCAACCAGAAGGCTAGAAAATCATCAGTCATCTTAAATGGAATACAGGCCTCTGATTGCTCTATTTGTCCACATGGTACAAAATACTGCTCTCTAATTGGTTACACATTATATGAGCATGCTATACCACTGAGGTCATATAGGTGGTGATAGATTGCTGCTTTTATTGAAACCCATGTTTGAAGGATTTGACTAAAATAATAATGATTAAAAAAAGATAACAAATGATTCATGTAATTCACCAGTGCCCATCACCTTTCATGACCCAACTTGAATTACTTTTACCAAGATGAACACGGCTTGTGAGGAAAATATACGGCCTGTTCCCTAAAACATAAAAGGTAGAGATCGTGCCTTCAAAAACAACACTTCAAATTTTACCTAACACAACGAAATGTGCAAGTCTCTTACCGTGAAGCTCAATGAATTTTGCATCTCTGTCCCCAGGCTGTGCCGTGGTGAAGTCACAAGGTCTGCTAGCAGAAGTGAACAGTGTGATGTATGCCTTTGCTGTACTTGACTTTGTAATCTTGTAGTACACTGGTCCTCTAAAATCTACTCCCGTCACGACAAAAGGGTCTGATAGTTCGGTTCTGAAAAGTGGCAATCTAGACTCCAAGATAGGTGAAGTGGACAATGGCTTCCACCGATAGCGTTTGCAAACCGTACAGTCTCGTATCAACTTCTTAGTCAGCCCTCTTAACTTGGGTACCCAAACTTCTCTCGCATGCGACATAAGG